AATGTATTTCTGGGAAACAGTCCAATGTGGGTTCAAGTAGAACATAAGGTTGCCGGAAACTGCGCCTAGCTGATGAGCCTCAAGAAGGGCGAAACCGGTCGTGGGCTATCGAAGATTTTTCAGCAACCTTGTAAGTAGTTTGCTTTATAAAAAGAAGCTGGAAACGTTTGCCTCTCTGAATGGGTACCTTGGGGTGCAACTCAAAAGTAGCTCTAATTATGCAACAGGACGCCCTACCTCGAGGCTATTTCCCTCATTTTAGCCGCTTAATCTCTCAGTTCATGAGTTCCAGGAACAGTTCAACAGCACTCAGTTGCTCAGACCATCGCTTCCAAGGCATGGTAACCAATAACTATTTTCCATGTTTCTTTGGCATACACTGTAGTAACGAAAGTCTAAGTAACCGCTTTACATCATCCATAGTGAGATAGCTGAAATGAATTAGCTGTAACAATCTCCCTGTTTCTGCGTCAAAGTTTTTTTTTTTGAAAATTCCATGAATCGCTGTGTGCCACAGTCCACGGGACAGTAAGTTTTGGACTAACATAAGAGCTTCAATATACAACGTCTAACCATGGCATCGTCGCGCAGTCCCAGTGTTCGGATGATCCGCTCTACCGACGACTGCTCCCCAATTTTACATAATGAGGAAGAATAGAAGTGGCTGGCTATGGGATTCGGTTTAGCAACACCTTCCTTGGGCTTAAATACGAGTATTTCTGAAACATACACCCATCAGCCAACGGGGGATAAACATAAAACGCCAAGTAATCAACTGGGTGTTTGACAGGTGGTGTGCTGCACAGGGTTCTCCTCTATTGGAATCACAGACTTTATGCTTCCTAATCAATTGATGCACCAGTTGCATCACTCCGGCATTTGACTCCCTTGCTAAACAGGTCTCGAGAAATCGTCAATTATGTACAGAGCACTCACTGTTCACAGCATGCATAAACACCAAGATTGCAGGATATCGGGCTGCTGGGCTATCCTCATTGTTGTAGACCTGCGAAGCTGAGGCGACATAGAGACGGCGTTTTCGATTTCTTCACTTGTAGTGTCTGTACAAAAGCTTTCAGTTCAACCAGAGAGATCAAACAGAGTCCCGAACAGCATAATCCTGCAGTGGCCAAGCGCTGTTTGAGTTAAATGCTGTCTGACGCAAAACCAGCTCCAGTTATTAGGCCGTCAGAAGCTAAGGACAATATCACATTCCAAACGAACTCATCTACGGTCAGCTTAATAATGGACTTCAAAAGTGAAGAAGTCGTAAATTGTTATTGCGACAGTCGTCATTGAAGTCCACTAAGGATCTTGTAAGGACCTAGGGCCTGAAAGTGCAACCTGTAGATGGGTGACCACATTGGTGTAAGGAACTTTGAGACTTAACGCCATTCCATGCGGGTCGTTCGAAATACGGTTAACCTCTCTTGTGAAAACTCAACTATATGGACCTGTACAGTACACGGACACACGCGCTTACGTGGGAGTGGAATTGTGGATCATTGGTCACGTAACCACATGAAATCGAGTTTTTATCCGTTTTCAAATCAGTGCCTGTTGGGTGGATCCCGGGAACTTTCGCAAAGTGGTATGAAGAGGAAACACGGTATTATGTTATAGCCTAAAGGAAACGAACACCTCTTCTTTGACTATAACACCACGTTTCATGCGGTAGATGCTTAAACACAGGCCTCTGCACGTCCACCACGGTCTTATTCCCACGAACCCCCATCAGCACCGCGTTCTTCCATCAGGCGCAGGCGTCCAATGGTTTGACCGCTGTTGATCCGCGAATCCGATTCGAACTTCAGTCAATAGTCCGGATTTGCTGAGAACTTTTCTTTGCACATAACCTTAGCCCGACAAATATGCATGGTCCCACCCTTCATATTCCCTTTTTTAGTCGTTGCTAGGTAACACAAACCCTGGAGTTCGTAGCGCCGTTCGTGAGCATCCTGTAGATAAAGGATACATGGACGATTTCTATCTGATTTTCGGATAAGTTGGAGGATATGAAGGGGCCTACTGTGATGGATCATGGGACATCGGTCTTTGGAACCTTTACCTGAAGGCATTTTTATGTGCGCATACGTTACTGTGAGATGTTTGGCGTCTAGACTAGCTGTTTGAAAACGCTTATATATTTCAGATTTCAACAGATTGTATCAGTAGTGTAGTTAACCTCCAAATGTGTACGGGCGGTTGAGTGGGGTAGGTTGAAACACACTGGACGGTCGGATTTTCATAGACGAAGCATCTTGAACCTGTCCTGGATTTGGGAGTCTTTTGCCGACGGAATACACATTCTGTCCGGCAGATACAAGCTGCTCCTTTCAGGCCATTATTTACTTAGTGACTCGCTATAGCAGTAAGGTTTACCTGCGACTATCATCTTTGCATTTGTCAGATCAAATACACGCATATGCTCCACGGGTGGCGATATTCGGTTCATAAAATGACGCCATTAGATTCGCAAAATGTTCGCAGAGTTTCTTCGTCGAAAGGCACGTTCGAGTTAATGGTACGAATGTGCATTTAGTCAGGAAAGCAGCTTCGTGGCATTCGGGTACTTCACGATTGTTTAGCTCCCTGAATGATCAAAATCTCAATCCCTTGAAGTTGCGCTGTTGATTCGCCAACTTTGTGCCACATGGGTAACGGAAGCCTGAACAACAGGGAGGCAATAAGAAAGACCGTACTATGCGGAATCTGACGCCTGCAGGGAACTCTTCCAACAACAACATTGTGACCTTTCGTATCATCTTCACTAAGTTTACTATAACTGTAGTTGATAGTTTATCTGTAAATTTCAATCGCTGGAGCAATCAGCCCGACCCTTTCTGGGGGCTTTCGAACAGACGGTTGCCTTCATTTTGTCGTCGTTCGGTGGTTCAAAGCAATTTCGGAATTTTCATCTGGGTAGACATAAGAGGCGTCCAGAACTAATCGACTGACATCCAATCGGAATTTCATCCCTTCAATGAAGTCAGTTTGTGCCAAAAAGCGCCCTACAGCTATTTTTTGTTATCAGGAATTACTGGTAGTGTGCGTCTCACAAATCTCCATGGCGATGTAAAATCACGACTTGGAGATTCAAGAGGAGCTAATAATTTTTTTATTATGAATAAACAGCTGCACAATGCTCCCCGACTTTTCGGCATGCAGTGGCTTTACTCACAGGAAGAAATCTTGATTGAACGTCTCCAGATCTCCCCAATACTGCCAACAACTACCATGTTCAATTTGCTCACTGCTTGATCAAAGCAAGCTGTGTCAAGCCAGAACCTCAATATACAATATAGCAGAATTAGGAATATCTCCCCTCCATATACTTTCACCTCAGGGATCTGGCTTTGAGAGTAAATAGACAGTGATTTATTGACGATACACAAGATTTCCTTAAAAGGTTTTTTACTCCATACGTTAGATGGTGTGCTCAAAAACTTCATTGTGTTTTCAGATAACACTGTTCGAGCCCCAGTTTTGTTCACTGCTTTGAGCCAGTCAAAGTATGTGAACACATGTACGTTTTACATCGGGAACTCACATCCGTTTGTGTTTGTACACTAAAAACTGTTATCTTCTCCAGGGAAAGTAGATGGTGCACTTCCCTTCCGCGCACGGAACCAATGAAGGCTATAACACACGGACCGGCCAACGACACGAAAACAACAATTGTCTGGTCAAATATTTGCTTAGTACGCGAGGTGAGACAGAATAAAATAATACAAGTGGGATCATTTCTATCACAGAAATAGGGTGTGTGTAGAACCAGGTTCAATTACACATGCACTAAAAAAACAACGCACCACCTTGTACTGAGCCAGCAAATTCGCTCCGTGACGTGAACTGAATACGGAATGGTCAAGAACAGTGATGGAGGTGGGTGGTTTGAGCCACTTTGGTTTTGCTAACAAGAGTAGTACATAGTGAATGCTTGCTCATACCGTATATTGCACAAGTACCGCAAGTGGACACGTATGAAATTGGATTGTGAAGTAGCAGTAGTTTTGTCAAACGCAAAATGTAGACGAGTAGGAACAAGCCACTAAGAGCCCCAAACGTCATGTTGGATGGCCGTGAAAGATGGAATTCATCAACAGCAGTTGCCTGATAGAATGCGCACGGAAAGCAGCAGTAAAGACGGGTTTGTTTGAAAGAATAATGACTCCAAACTAAAGAAAATGGTCCAGGGAATCTAACAAACGATACGATACTGGAGAAGAAAGCTGTGGAACAGAGATTATGAAACTATGCTCCTTTACGAGGTTGGCCAAAGTACACGAAGCAGAGGTAAACGAATAATGTGAGTAGCATGGAAAAGAATAGAATACGTGTAGCAGAAAGTCGTCTTGGGAAGAACGCCAACATTCGAGCCTTTACAGGACCAGTAGTAAGACACTTGCGTGCAACAAACAGAAGAATAATCAAGAGGACAAAGAAAAAGACGACAGTTAAGAATATTGATAGCGTTTCATACGTAACTTCACCCAACCCGCTCGATTCGTGCTCTTTCATTAGAAACTGTGAGCCATGCGAATCGGTCGTTTCGAATGAGGCTGCATCCAGCATCGCCGTTATTGCACCAGGAAGTTCACAGGCTCCTGGACCAAGCAATACAGCCTGGGGAATGCCTCGACTGCAAAGTGAGCAAATGGAGGTTAGATAGGTTGAAACAGGCAGGAAAACAGATGCACTAGTCCCAAACACTGTTCAATCTCAACTTCGAAAACTCACTCTGACCGCACCATATAGTACACCAACAATTGGAGGTAAATGCCAAATTTCGCAGAATTGGGGAGGCTAGAAAGCACCATGCAGAGGATATCGTATCCGGCAAGCTGGATGCCAGGCACTACAATAATATTACACAAGTTTACAGCAACTAGCCGCCACGTCCTCACCAGCTGGTGGGCCTTATCGGGTATCATTTATCAGAACAGGAACACTCGGGAACGCACCAATCTTGAGTACCGAAATTAAACTCGAGGGCGTGTTGCGTAAGGAGCAGTGTCATTCGACAACTTAGGCTTGTAAACTGAAACACTAGAACCCTGATGGATGAGAATAGCAATAAGATTGAACGGCGGATGGAGCCTGATATCAAGGGACTCAAACACAGTGGCGTTCACATCGCGACTAAGGACCTGACAACAGCAGTAGGATAGCGAGTGTTCTTTGAATCTACAGTCTGACACACCTCCAGAAGGGGACTGTCAAACGACAGCCGATGAGGACGTAGAGTTGGATTGTTGGTCATAGGAACTTGTTAGCAGAGATCGTCTGTGAACCAAACCACATCGATCCGACAATGATGAGAAATGGAATTAAACTCGCAAGACACCCACATAAAACAGCATGAAGGAAATAGGAGAGGTTTGAAAGCTATTCAATCCATACTCGCCAACGAACACCATTCCTGAACGAGAGGTTTAGGTACTCGAGTTGGTCGAGATCCATAAACTTGGGTCCCCCGGAAAACGGGTCAGTGGCGTTTGTCTGTGTATGAAGCTCTCGGACTGACCATTGCTAATATGGACACAAACGACATGTACACACAAATTATTGACTGTTATTGTCAGAAAGGAGATCTCGCAGAGAGTCCCCTAATCAAAGTGGTGAGCGACGGTGAAGACAATACCTACCATATATTGACATGGGCGATGGTGAGATTCATCTTGAGAACAAAAAATCCAATTTATCAGGCTGCATTTTTAGAAATTGGAACACTCAGCATTCAAGCACTGTCTCAGAGACTGTCAAGGCCAAATTCACGGGGAAGGTGGAAGAACAATGGACTGTCGAAAAAAACGTGCAAAAAACTGCAGTGGAGATGATTTGGGAAAAGAAACCGGCGCGAAAGGATCGGTTCGACGAAAATACTACTGTGATTTCGTCCACGTCTGACCGAAAGGGCGGAGCTTGCAATACGGTACTAAAGAACCCGTCCAATTCATTAGACCAAAAGAGATATTTCAAAACCCAACAACCAATGAAGCTCGAGATTACGAACGAATCGTGGACAAAACTAGGTGAAGAATTTCAGTCATACACTGATCGCCGTCTCCACAAAGCTCCTTGGAGCACCAAAAGTCGAATGAGCCTAAATCGAATATCGATGAGTTCATTCAAGATATTTGGACTGGCCGAAAGCTTGCGAAATGTGAAATTATGCTAGGTGTATGGAAGACTCACTTCTACATACTGCCGGACGGAAGCGGCCTCATAAGAACCAAATATCACGATGTAAAGAGAAGAACCACATGGACGACTCTCACGTTTGATGGACTACACACAACAATACGCGGATGCAAAACGGAAAGGTCTCTGGCGATGACAAGATGCCCACAGAAACTTGGTGAACAAGGACTCGAATATGAATTTCTTGATCTAACTCTCTTCGTAAGGGAGCTGAGGGTGCTATACAAGGATGTCCACCATAGTCCCTTCTTTTGAAGAGAAAGAAAGCGAACAGAGGACTAAGAATCACCGAGGGAGATCAACCAATTTGTGTTTGTGAGAAAATGTTGACTCGAATCCTAGCAAACTACCCGAATGCGAATATTGTGGATGAGGCCATTTTAGAGAAAGTGAAGAGAGCATCTTTGACCTAAGCTTCTTAGTGCGATGAAAACAACAGAATATCGCGAACGGAACCAAGTCGTATATATCCTATTCATTGAATCCACAAAGATTTTGGGTTTGGTTAAAGGAGACGCAATGTGGATCGTTCCTTGGGAGATATGTAGGCCACATAAATTTGTCAGTCTGGTCAAATATCTTTACTCCGGAACAAAAGCGAGTACTTTATCTATACTGCAGCTGGGTGCAACATGCGTGGGAGATTTTCAAAGTTTAGAAGATAATAAACAAGATGTGTGCCGTAGGAGGAACGGCAATATTTAACGGAGGCTCTCCATTGGTAACTGACTGTCATAAGATCCACGTGAGTCCATGGCTTGATTACGCCTGGTGACCTCCAAATAACCCAGTGTGAGCGCTTATGCTTAAAGTCTGCACTGGTCAGCGTTCAGCGCACAACCGATGGACTTACTATCCTTTAATTGTACGGCAAGGGCAGACCGCTGTGTTTCTTTCGAGCGTCGACATCATTAGATAAAATACCTGTTCTTTTCCCTAAACGAAACAGCCTTGAGATATCTCCATAAAATCTGTCTTTCTCAGTTTTAGAACTGAAATGTGTCGGTGATGTGTTGAGACGACAGATCAGCAACTGCTTTGACCAATATTGGTCTTAACTAAACCGAAATCCGTATTACGCAAAGGCGACTGTTTACTGGAATTCAGTATGATAAAACACTTTTAGCTGTAGAGGTGAACACAACTTTCTCGCAGTAGATGCCGCGAGTTATTGCATCAGGATGACCGAATACTCGAGAAATGAACATTGAATTACCTCAGTTTGTCCAAAGCGGTTTGCTGTCCGTGACTAAAGTGTGGGTATTACATAGTTTTCGGAGGAATACCACGCACGAGCACAAAGGGAAAGCAACACACACATCATCGTTTAGCCGTAGCACACTTTCGGTGGCTAGCTGCTATGCCAGTCGACCTCTGCCTCTCGACATCTCCTGTCTACGCTTTGGCAACCTGGCAGCATCCCGGCCCTCGTACTTCCTTCGGGTAGTATGGCAGCTAGGCACCGGAAGTGTGTTACAGCTGAAAGGGAAAGCAAAGCGACGACAAGAAACGTCTCGCGCACAACCAACTTGACGGAGGGTGTGCATATCGAAAGTTGCAAAGTGAATGCGATGTTTCGAATTTAGTATTCTCAATAATCCAATATGTGAGTTCCAACCATAAGAAATTAGGATGAACCTTGTGAAACCGCTCAGCCTGTGTACGCACCTTAACGGATATAGTCGAACTTATGGGATACCAGTGCTCCTATGCTGTAACAGTTGCGAGGTAAGCCTGGTGCAATTCTTTAAAGGTGAAACTACACCCTCAATCGCACATGTGCCACCTGTTTACCTGCGACAGACAAAACACCTCGTCCTGAACACCCCCGTAGTGAATATGTCTGTACGATATTGTGCGGGGAAGTGCTGACGGGTGATATCGGTAGCTAAGTGTCTGATACCATGCTATTGCTCATCGCAACGTCATAATGCTTATGCCGGCAGATAGATCTCTAAAAATCTTCATGAGTTCCTCAGCAAAACTTATTTCTGCGTGTCCACATTGAACCCACAAGGTCATCAGCAGCAGAAAATCTGGCGTTTCGTCCCATCAGGCTGTTTAACTACTCAGCGCTCCAGCCACTGCTGAAACGCAAATCCACACTGGAGACCAGACAATCGCAGAGGTAAGTGCTAGGGTGATATGCTTCATAAGAAAAGCTATCCAGTTGCCGAAAATTCGTTTTCTCAGGCTGAGTATGGCTTGTTTGGATGGTCGGTGACCCAGGGTTTTTGCATCAATTCCTAACTACTTACATCAAGCACAGTAGTGTTGGCAGATTGAACACAACAGTCGCACCAAAGCCGGCTGATTGAGTACTGTGCAAGCTAACGAGTTCCTCAAAAACTCATCGTTAGCGGTGCCTATTATCCACATTCATACGAAAGTGGGTTGCACATAGAGATGGAATTTCAGGATGGCTCGATACTTCATGTGGTTTTCCCATTGGAGACTTGTCGAATTACACTGTCCAATTTCGGTCCGGTACCAAAACGATCATGCACTTTGATTGGAAATTCCAAACCGGTTTGCTGTGCATCTCTCCGTCATCACACCTAATTTCACTTTTTAATTTGAGCAACGTCGTAATAAGTTATGTTCATTCAATCGCTTTGTGGAGCGTGGGAACAGAATTTCGGTGCTCCTGAGAAATCTCACGAACTAAGGAAGGACGTCTACACTACTCGCCCAAAAGGCAAACATATGTGAAAACCGTTTACTGACATAAACAGGCAGAATGAACCTCCCTACGGTGGTCCGGCTCGTTACATGGATTCATTGAATTTGGTATTTCGTCATGCCCGGCAACGAAAATCAAACGAAAGGCCATGTTGAAACGCATGTATCAGCTGATCGTCCTACTCGGACCACCATTCGCTTCCTCACCGTGGCATCATAAAATATGGCCCTCACGAAAAGTGAATATTGATACGTGGCAGGGCGCGTCAAGAAGTCCGATTTACGCACACAATATGCCAGGGAGTGAAGCATCCAAACCGTTCTGAAGCCACCATTTCCGATTAAATGCCCAGAAGCGGGTAGGACGACGTGAAAACGGACAGACTTGGATAAAAAATGATCAACTGAACCATTTGATGGATATACCTTGGCATGCCGTAATTTAACAAGTGGATTTCCTATTTTCAGGTCATTTAAAATTTGGTTCTAAACAACAGCTCCGTCCTTGAATGGTACCGTATCCCAAATTTGAACAACGACGTTGTTTCGGTCAACGCCTAAACAGAACACACAGTGACCAACATCACATGACCCACATAAAACAGACTGGCATGCCATCATGTCATGGCAGCTGTGACAGTAGTGAAACTGATTCCACTGGCAAGCAATATGCCTCAAGTTGCACGTTGTACCATCATGAAAAAACATCATCAGTAAGCGATTTTACGAATAACTATCCAACAGACTTCTGGTACACTCAGTGCAGTATGTCGTTTGATGGACCGAAGGGGTTAATCGATCCCGGTATACCAGCACGCTGTGTTTATCTCGTTGAACAAGCCTGTATGATTCCTTTTGTGCCGAACCGGCCAGTTTTCACCCAGAATCATTCTGCAAAAATGCTCGAGATTAAGAGAATCTATCATGGGATACCCTGAAATCATTCCTGTGCACTGACAGGATATACTTGTCCTAACCAGACACCAATAGGATCCAAAAGTACGAGGACTGGTTCATCTAGGTTGGGGTTATTTTTGAAGATATTACGGCAAAACGCGCGGCGGTTCATGATCCCCGTTAGGCCTATGAGTTGATGAGCTGGTAATGTCGTTGACAGCACAACATTGATCGCTTCTGGTGGCATTCATTATTTGTCAAGGCTAAAAGTTGTTTGGCGTAGCAACGTTGCGGCAAAACTCTGGCGGAGTGTTCGGAGAAGGTAAAGGGTCAAACGTATGCTTAAATCCCAGTTTCATACGCACACCCACGATGAACGACGCACCATTGACGAAGTAAATGTGACGTACGTGTTTGACTCGAGAAAACTCAGAAAATAAGGCGAACTTTCACATGTAAGAGGTACCAAGGTCGAATCCTAACCTTTTTCTGGACCATACGATCTGTAATACAGTTAGTCTGGCGCGTTTAACGATGTGCACTGTGTGGGCACGAAAGCGGTTTTTTTATTCCGCCAAAACAATTTAGTTTTGTTGGTGCGCGAAAGATCTGATGAAAGAATGAAGAATACATGTTTAATTTCTTGTTGAAACGTCTTCCTTCAAAAATAACGAACATATCAAAGTGAGATCAACCACTTCCTGAAAACACACCCGTGGGGCCGATGCTCCGCAGTAGACCGGACAGAATCCAATCGATGCTCTCTCTCTTGTCAAGCAGGCATTCACTTGCTGATAAGCAATGTCCACAGTCCAGGACACTCTGATCTCATTGAAAGTCAGTCATTACCAAGTGAAGAAGATGCCACCGGAGATTAAAGGCGAAGGTGCATCTGGCAGGGTCCGTGCACAAGCTCAGAAAAGTGAAGTTCAACCAGTTCTGCGCAGCCGTAGGTGCCGAAGAGCTTTGAAGATTTTCTGTCCATGGACTAATGTGGTTCTGAAGTTGAAGTACACTAGCGCTAACAGTGTTTGTTCTAGCAAGTCTCTTTAGCCGTTCGATAGGTGTTTATGAGAACCCATCCAACAGGAATGACTCCTCACAGGTCTCATATAGCTTGGTTGAACTATGTTGCAAAGCTCAGAAAAAGTAAGATTTAAGGATAAGCAGGCCATTGAGGTTTGCGATCGCAGACATGATGTGGGTAGGACTCGTTGAAGAGAAGCCAAAATAACAGTTTTAGCTCATTCTCTGGATCGATTTTAAATCTTCAACCAATTCGCCAACTGCAGTGCAACATATCCCTATTCAAATGCGAGACAACCGAGCAAAATGTCGAAGAATTCAAAGCCATAAGTGTAACATTTCTTGTCACTAAGCCTCATGGTTAGTTAGGAATCGAGTACCTGACCAAGCTTAAAACAAGTTGGTATATTTCTCTCCAAGACGCTCCACTGAACAGAGCGCTGGACGGACGAAGAAATGGTCGGATAATAAAGGAACATATTCCTTCATAAAGGAAAAAACCCACAAGGTTACCGAAGACTCTTCGACAGCCCACAACCGGTTTCACCCTTCTTGGGGCTCATCAGGTAGGCGCAGTCCCCGAGTCTCCGTCAAACTTATGTTCCACTTGAACATAGATGCAACAAGCGGTGAAATAGATCACCACGTGATCCATACACACAACCATGTAAACACACCCGCTGAATGTTTCCAAATCCCTTACAGAAAGCAATCACACCAACCTAAACCGATGAAATCTCGCACTATATTTGAGGCTGAAGGAATTGCTAGCAAAACGGCGCAAGCACATCCCTTGCGCTCCGCCGACAAAGCGCCATTGGTCGAGCATGTTATCCGGGAAGGTTTATTAATCGTTTCTGCACTAACACTCCATTATTGTGAAAACACTGGAACGGGTACCCGAAGAAAGTGCCGAGTACTTATTTGGATGATGGGTGTACACTTGGAAAGGCCTCAAATAACCCGGCAATCCTAGAAGAACACGGATGGAGATGTAACCAACACCAGATATGCAAATAAATCGAGGCGAGTGAAGGAAATGTTTACAAAACATGACTCCTCGCCCTAAATATAAGGGAGTGAGACATCTTATTTTATTTGCAGTCTCATGTTCAAGTGTGACATGATGAAGTATCGTGTACGGCTCAGTAGCTCAGGTTGTACTCAATGGATACTGAAAGCAAGATGAACCACAGCACGTCTCTAAGTCTACAACCCGATGCACCGCCAATCGATTAGTGACTAACTGTCCAGATCGCCGAACGGATTAAAAGCCACCTACATAGCTTGAACTACCAAAAGTCACTTCCACAACCTCCAGAGTCTATGGAAAAATTTGTTAAACTCAAGAGCGAGTTTTGGACAAATCGGAGAACTGAAAAACCGACACAACAATAACCTGATCATCCGACATCGCTGTTCCTCAATGCGTGGTCCCACAGTTGTAATATTGTTCACCCAGTGTGGGCTCCACAGCCGTTCGGCGATCCCGCTAGTCACAGGCCTGAAATTGAAGTAAGACAAGTCGCTAGCGGTTTATATATTATGGGATGACAAAGTCAAGTTGGATATTGCATTAGTGGTTCTGAGTAATGATTGGCTATTCGAAAGAGCTTGAGCAGTGAACTAATCGCCGATCGACATGGTGCCAAGCAGACAGTGAATGAAGGTTACTAAGCGTATTAGATACGCAATACTGTAGTAAGCCATCAACGGGACTAGATGCAGTGGCCTAATATTGGCTATTGTTATCCGCCATTGTACTGCAACAACACAAGTCCTGCCACAGTACCGGTGGAAGTAGATGCCTTAGGAAACAGAAAGATAATTACCACTTGAGAGTTTTGAAATGCTTTGGGATAACCCTACCACATGTAATGTATACATGCTTCTCCGTTCTAGAAGATTGAAAGAAGTGTCCAGCGCTACAGCGTGGTTTCCAAAACACCCTTGGTGCCTTGCGAAGCACTCCAATTTCATATTTATCTATTGTTTACTTATTATTCATTTATTTGATAACATTTGTCATCAGTATTTAGTAGTGTTTCCAGTACAGCCGGAAATGAATAACCACACGCCGTACAGATTGATGCCATACACAAGAATGCGAAAATTTCGTGAACTGTGAGCTTTCACCGTAAGCTGATCAGCTGTTTGAGCGACTATGAGACAACAGTAGCATGTAAGTAAGGGAAGATGACCAGGATTTGTCTACAAACCTCAGGATGCACAACAAAACTAGTTCATCTATGCTGCAAAGCTCAGAAGCACTGCATACGTGTTTCAACGAATCCCACGTACTGTCCAAACTTGAAATATTCGGGATGCGATGCGATGAGCAGTGCTAATCGTTCCTAATAAGGACAAGACATCTGCCCAGAGCTTTCCAGCCGAAGGAAACGCAGAACTCACATAGCTATTATGAGTGAGGCCTATGAAGTTGGTAGAGATTGGGGAAAAGACTACGTATACAACAGACATTTCGAGACAACCTACCAAATTTTCTGCAAAATAGTGTCATCGGCTTGGTATTCACCCCACATGCAAGCCTCGCCACCGAGCAGGGTTGTTGGTCCCGAAGTGGACTGAAGATCAAGCTCTGGACAGAGAAGTACACAAGGGAAACGGCACAATTTAAAATGCGAGGATCAAACATTTGCGTATACTGAAATAATCCAGTGCTAGAAGGCGGTCAGCTAAAACCAGCCTCATACCCTAGACCTAGTTGTGCGGCCGGAAAAGTGGAATCCAGAGCGATCTATAGCCTTTGCTCAGAGTTTGCAAACTAAAGAATCCCATAAATGATAAAGGAAACAAATGTATTTTTCGAAACAGTGGCAACCGGTACACTCTTAGGTTTTTTGTAGACTGTGCATCCGAAGAAACCACCTCTGTTGCCATCATTCGTGTCGATGGTTTTAACAAAGGCTACATATTACAGAGATGAAACAAAGTGCATGAAGGCTGAAAATGACACATATTGTCTCTCTAAAAAACTGAGTTTTCTATGGAGGAAAATGTTCGTAGTTCAGATAGGGTAGATGGTCGTTGGCTTGTTCGCTGACCTGGGCAATTTGATTACAAACGTTTCATCACCAATCGAGGTGACATCACCGCAAACCGCTACGCACAACTACGCTCCCCAATAACGCACTGATTATGTCACCTCGATTGGTGATGGAAACAGTAAACAGTAAACATCTCAGTTTGTCCAGCACAGTAAACAGACCAACGACCACTTTCTGAGTCTTTGGACAACCCCAGATCAGAAAGAACATTCATACGATTCCTAATGACTGGATTATCTTTCAAAATGAGTGAGATTATTACTGAAATACTCGGACTACAGCCAACAGTCTTGTCAAGGTAGCTAGGCCCGTGTTTCTATGATACCCCTGACATGGCATATTACACGCTGACCGATGCACGTGAATAGGTTTGATGTGAAGTCACAAATATCTTTCTCATCAATGAAAGGAGCCGAGGTTGTTTGTATTCCGACTCTACTGTGGACGTTGATGAAGCACTTTGGATAACCATTCATCAGCAGGATTTTCCTCAAAAAGTGCTAACCTCGTTGACGATGCGGGCTTATAGACTACGGGAGTGTAACGGAGGAACTGTAACCATTGAACTGTCCACCGGGCTGCTTTGTATTCTCTTCCGTGTCGCGTGTATCCGTAAGCCAAAATGCTTGCGTTTTCCAGATTGAATTTGTGGCCTCCTCGGTCCTCGTGTATACATATCAAGGACAAGGGGTCATGTCTCGTGATAGCCGCGTTGTGTTCCTTTATTCGTCTGCATAATTTCATCCCAGTTTGTCCAAAGTAGAATTTGTTGCAGTCGTTGAAGTTGATTTGGTATATCACATTGTTCCTCTTGATTTTGCCTCGGTTGCTCTTCGGTCTAGAGATCAATTTCCTAAGAGGGTCACCCTAAGGAAATTGATCTGTAGACCGAAGGGCAACTGAGGCAGTACCAAGAGTAACAATGTAATACACCAAATCAACTGCAATGACTGCAACAAATTGTACGTTGGACAATCTCGAAGGAAATTATGCATGACCACTCGCAAACCGCTACGCACAACTACGCTCCCCAATAACGCACTGATTATGTCACCTCGATTGGTGATGGAAACAGTAAACAGTAAACATCTCAGTTTGTCCAGCACAGTAAACAGACCAACGACCACTTTCTGAGTCTTTGGACAACCCCAGATCAGAAAGAACATTCATACGATTCCTAATGACTGGATTATCTTTCAAAATGAGTGAGATTATTACTGAAATACTCGGACTACAGCCAACAGTCTTGTCAAGGTAGCTAGGCCCGTGTTTCTATGATACCCCTGACATGGCATATTACACGCTGACCGATGCACGTGAATAGGTTTGATGTGAAGTCACAAATATCTTTCTCATCAATGAAAGGAGCCGAGGTTGTTTGTATTCCGACTCTACTGTGGACGTTGATGAAGCACTTTGGATAACCATTCATCAGCAGGATTTTCCTCAAAAAGTGCTAACCTCGTTGACGATGCGGGCTTATAGACTACGGGAGTGTAACGGAGGAACTGTAACCATTGAACTGTCCACCGGGCTGCTTTGTTGTATGGCTGTGAGACTTGGCCTATTCGAGCGGCGGAACCGAGACGTCTTCAGATGTTCAACAATCGTCGTCTCAGAACCATAGACCGTGTGGATTGGTGTCGGCGAATCCGTAACGAAGCAGTTAGAAAGCGCGTTTTCGGTTGTGCGACGGTTACTTCCACTGAAGAATGTGTCCAGCACCAAAAGCTGCGATGGTTGCGGCATTTGTTGCGTATGCTGAACCAGCGTTTGCCGAATAGAGTGCATTTTCCCATGCCCAATTCAGATTGGCGTGAACAGAGAGGTGGCCAACCCTTGACTTGAGAAAGGAGTATGAAGGAGATAACGAAACACTTGGGTGCTGCCGGTGCTTATCGCCCTCCAGGATGGGGACCGCGTGATCCTCACTGTGCCTGGTTAGAGACACTACAAGATATGGCTGCCAACCGATGTCAGTGGCGTTCTTGTTGTCAGTTTCTACCCAGATCGCCTGAGTGAGTGTCTGGAGGTATAGGCACCTCGGAATGATTGTGGTGAGCTAGCACTAAGTCCCTTCCCCGTCCACCTTTACTCTTCTCTTTACAATAAGGCTTTCAAATAAACCATGGTTGTACGGCAGTGAAGCATCGGTGTTGAACACTGATGTCACGCTGTCGGATGGTATGGTGATAATGTCAACCGGTTCATCCTATTGATACAAAGTTATATAAGTACATCGGTACATTTACAAGCAAGTACATTGTACAAGCAGCCACTGATGTCACGCTGTCGATGATGATGGTGATAATGTCAACCGGTTCATCCTATTGATACAAAGTTATATAAGTACATCGGTACATTTACAAGCAAGTACATTGAAAGATACAAGCAGCCATTCAATTTACACTCTTCTATGACGCAGAGGTCATGGTGGGTGAAATAAAGGGTGCATAAAAGTGACTCCAAACGCACCACATTAATAATGACGAAAATGTTACCAGAAACTATTTTTACAAAGAAAGTAACGTTTTGGACTATCATCTGCAGTCATTCGTACAGCCATCCCCTTAAAGATACCTGCCCAACGGTTGACCCTTCGCTACGCCCCACTACAGATCCTAACAACGCACTGATGACGTCAGTCTACTTGGTGATGAAAAGTTTGAAATGCGATTATCAACCTCGGCAAACAGATCATCGGTCACGCATGCCAACGTTAGACTCAAGAGGCTGTCCACAACAACACCATCAAGTTGTTTACTACACTTGAACTCAAGTATGAAATTTCTGATACAAAGTACACTCGTATATTCAATAAAAACAAAAGCCCATCTGTCACATGAATGCATACACTACCTGACAGGGAACCAACGTCATTGGACAATACAAAAGATAAAATATGTGCATGAACAAAGTTGCAAGCTGATTTGGAATACTTGGATAGGGTAACCTGGAGTTAACGAGGTCACAGGTTTGAGCATTTTTGAACACACGTACAGCCTAGATATTGCTCTAGTGAATGTCAAAAGAAGTTATTCTCCATCTAAGTTGATTTGTTGTTTACGAGTGCAATGTTAAAGGAAGCACGTGCTGGCACAAGCGGACCCTTGATACTTTATCAAATGAGTATATGAGTTGGGAAGGCTTAATTCCCACAAGCACCGCAGAATCATAGGAGGCCGACAATTGTAGAAAAGGTCAGAAAGAATTGGATGCCGAGTGAAGCTCACCATGGAGCTTGGTACTAGCTCGCTCACTCCCCTAACTCAAATACGAGTGAATATGAACAAACCAAACTTTGGAACTACAAAGGACACGTTTGGTCAGTTATCTGAAAGCTACTAACCAAGTGACGATGGGCACCTTGTGAAAAATATGCATGCCGAGTCTCACGTTGGACAAGCAGGAAAACCAATGATTTGGTTGCTAGTGAGGCACATTTCAACAGTAAGATGTCACAGAGAGTGAATTGTAGTTTGAGCTGAGCAGCTATCTATCCAGGATGTTAAATAACCCGTTTACCTGTAGCGGCCTTTCGGTGCCTAGCTGCCATGCCACCAGAAGGTTGCACGAGGGCTGGGATAATGCCAGGTTGCCCAAGCCTAGACAGGGGAAGTCGAGAGACAGAGTTCGGGTTTGAACCACGGACCTTCCGGTCAGTAAATTCGCGCCGTCTCGCCCCCCATGATGTTAAAATTTAATGGGAGTCTCAAGGGGCCAATTAAAAGTGACACTTTCTGCCAGAAACTTTCTTTACAGGGGGGGAATGTAATAACGAATAGGCTAGGTCCTTGAAAGTCCGTTCCAGCAAACACCCAGCTGGCAAACGCGGAGCTGAAACAGACCTGAAATCTGTAGTTGCTGTCACCTGAAGTACGCAGTGCAACGCGTGGACCAAGTCATGCGTTCAGTTTGAGCCGTGTGGCAGAGGACTGTTGAACAAGTTCCACAAAATTTAGGTAAATAAAACGGGTAAAATTTCGATCGTGCGTGATTGTTACCTTCTTAGGTGTTCAGACCAGTTGTGACTGCCCCTGCACTACACACTTCAGATAAATGAACATTAGACCTGTGGAAACACAATACTATACAAAACAATTTCGTTTGCAAAGATTCACTGTGTGTTGACGGATGTATCACGTGGCCTTAGTGGCATTCCAAAACATTGGGATGAAGAAAGTTTGTACAACTAGTTGATCTAGCTAACAGGAGAATTGCCGCGCGCTACATCGGAATCAAGAAATTAACTGATAGGCAATGGGCTACATAGATTACAAACGACTCACGTCTGAGGGGGTCACACAGATAGTAAGGCACCCAATCTCGTATAAAGTGCAAATTGTCCAGATACCAACAGGAAGAAAACAGCAAATTTTCGGACAGCGCAAATTCCCCAGGGATGTCCGGTTTCCACACTTGGGATACGACGGAGTTTTTGAGCTGTTAATGAGAATTGGAATTAGGAAGTTGAACAGTCAAGACAATGAAGCATTCCAATGCAAATGATGGGGAACCGAAGAGGCGAGGCATGTAATGACTAAGTTACACGGTGGTCGGGCGCTAGCAGGACTTCGAAAAGACAAAGGAGTTGGTCGTACAATCGAGTCCATGTTTTATGGTAACCGTGTGGTGCCCACCTCACTCAAGTAATATACACGACCATGCGAGTTATGGAAGAGAAACACTGCCACTATTTATAATAAATACTGGATCAAATAGAGAAATAGAATCATCATTATCAAAGTGGAATAGGGAATCGAATTTGGTGAAGTGTTCAGAAAAGTAAAATGTGTTCGGTGAAGCCACACATTGCTCAGTAGAGTGTCATCGGCTTAGGGGTTAATTTCCCCCAAAACACAGTCGTTAGAAGGCGGAACATAATGGGCAAGTTGATCAGAGAACAGCATTAGGCCATTTCTATCGTCCCATACTAGGCGGAGCCGACGAATTCTGCCTCGGGCAGTGGTCGCCTGAAAATAAAGCAGGTAAATATGGGATCCACCCAGGATTTCTTGAAAAATGGCTCTTAAAGCAGTTAGACTTCTCACCGGGCATTACAGGCCTCCTACAGTTCTTGAACTGCTGACGAACAAAGCACGTGATGTTGAAGTAGGCCAGATGGTTTTCGGGTCACACTACACAGGTTGCGCTGGTTAGACCATATACTTCGTAAGCCAGAGGACCGTTTGCCTCATATAACCCTCTTCGCCCAGTCTTGTATTGGCTGGAATCGAGAAGGGGCGGTCAGTCCATGATTGGCAACGAACCATAAAAGCCCTACCAGTCAACATAGCGAACTAAGTGAGCATGCTTCTAGGTGCGTCTCTCATTCAAATCCGCCATGTCTACGGGGGCGGCGAAGGAGGTAACTGAAGGCTGCCGACACAAACCGTCGCAATCACCCTGGTTGCGAAATTTGTGGAAGTCGCGTTCACATAATTCTCGTTTGAAAAATCCTCCTCCTTTTTTGACGCAATTATCCTGGTGAGTTCACACCAAAGGGAGGAAGCACTGGACTCGAATTTCGATCTTATTAGAGCTCATCAGCAGTAAAATCCTTGACCACTTCGACATTTGAACTCCGGACTTTGCATTTACTGAATTACGTCAACATCCGCCACCAACCCAACCGCCGATAGCTACTTGAAAGATTCGCTTCCATCCGTATTATTGGATTGGATGGATTGGATTGAATTCATTATTACTCATTATTGGGTTCATTGATATCGGATTTAGATAGTGTTCCCATGTTCACTGTGGTGGATACACAGTACCACTGACCGGGTCAGATACAAGCGTAATTTCTAGCGACGATATCTACCGTACACGATATGTTCGTGCCACCGACTTCAGTGATGCTATTTACGGCGTCCGCTGTCACGTGTAATCGCTTATTCTGCATCATATCATTGATTTTTTAGGCTTTGTAATCGCACTCTTGGCATGCGAAAAACGAAACATATCAACAGCATACTAGTGGCACCACAGAAACTGAATGCCAATAGGTGGAAGGAAAATCGAGACTATTTATAACGAACCGAAATTTCAATGCAACAGTCTGATGTGAGACTTGGGTCGGCTCACAGTGGTCCTGACATGATAAAACCTTTTTAAACTACAACACTAATATATGTTCTGAGGTAAGAGGATAAGATAATGGAGTCCAAAGAGGGGAACAAGAATCGGAGGCCGAGTGCAGGAATTCATCCAGGCATGTGGAGTGCCAAAAAGAGCGTTATTTTTTGGGTTAGTGTTCACAAGGGGGCAGTGTTTACTGCGAGTTGAGTGTCTTTCCTGCCAGTTTTTGTGCGTTCGTATCTAATAAAGTTTGCCGCAAAAAGGTTCGGACGGTGTAATCCCATACCGATGCGTTTACAAATCATTTTAGATAATTTTCTGATGTATTTCCCCCGATAAACGACCGGTGGCCTACCAACCTTAATTATACGAAGAAAGCTGCTTCGAGATATCGCTTCAGTTGGATTACCGAGATATTTGGAAAGTTTGTCGAGAATTCTTAAAGCTCAGCTTCAACAGCCTTTTAGGTGCCTGGCTACCGTGTCATCCGAACGAAGCACGAGGGTTGATATACTGCCAGGTTGCCCAAGCGGAGACATGAACAGCCAAGACGCAGCTGTCGGGACCATTCGATTAGTAAGCTCGCAGTCTAACCCTGAGCTGTCTCAATCCCAAGAATTCTTAATGGTACACGATACCATCAAAACAGCAGCATTCATAGCGGCACCAATCAACAACATTTATAAATATCAAAGAAGCATTTTGTCTCGGTCCAGGGTATGCACCTGTGAAAAACTAGTACCTGATGCACAGGTTAGCGTTCATCAGCGAATCAGCCACATACTAGCTCAGTGAGGCCCAATTAATGCTTTTCGGACTTTCGGCTGTTAGATAAACTTCTGTGAACATCACATCCACGTTCCTCCCTGAAAGTTCGATTCATTCAACGACTGGAATGACACACGAGCATTCCTGGATGACGTTGGTTCGGTTTGGAATGTGAATGAGAAAAAGGCAAACTAACGACAGAATCACAATGGCAAATATCTATCTATCTGCTCCTTGATCTTATCAGCAACATCAATAGGGTTGGGATTACAAGTCCTCGGCTTGAAGCCACGAGTCACCGGTAGCTTCACATCCTCGAGATATTTAGAAGCAATTAAATGGCAAGAAATGGAGAAAACGATGTCCGGCATCTTCACATAAACAAAGGCAAAATACAACAAGTGGAAGGATAGCTCGCAGTTAACAGGGCTTAAAGTATCACTGTGCAACAGAACCTCCTATCGAAGTACACATGATATTGTGCGATACTTCGAATGGGATGCTGTGCATTACTCATCATAGGTGCTATTGGTAACCCGATGATTCTTGCTGCTTTAGTAAGACAACTGCAGGTTTCCAGTAAACATAGGTGTGATATTGTGGTTGCACATGTTTACGCTATAGACAGTTCGCTTTAAGTATCCCATTAACATAAATGTGTGGTCGAAAATGAACTGTAAACTATATGGTTTCAATTAGCCAACAAATAGTATTCAATGACCAAAAGTAAGGCAATATTCACTGGCCAAACGTAAAACACTACTCATTAGGTTATTGAAACCTTTTCGACAGCCCGCAACTGGTTTCGCCCATCTTGGGGACGTCGTCCACGAGTCCCTCTCAACCTCATGTTCTACTTGAACACAAATTAGACAGATTTCGGCAAGTACTCTCACTCCACACGAAACCGGTTTTGACGGGGAACTCCACTAAATCCACTTAAATCTCTTGCCTGTGGTGGTCCGCTTCAACGGTTTTGTAGCCCAGAACACTCCCAAGTGGGTAGTAATATTTTACGCATCAGCAAGATGTATAACGGGTCTCCAGCTCAAGGGTGGCCGGACGACGCTGTGACCGACTTGTCGAGTTATCTACGTGGGCATCCACTTTTGGCGCACATCCAGTTGGATTAAATTCTCCATGAAAAACTTGACGGATAGTGTGGTTTCCGTGTACTTTGATGCATAAGTTGGACAATTGCGCTGACAACATATTTTCCGATTGCTAATCATTATAAACAGAAACTACCCAAAAGAGGATGTGAAGTCTTAGGTGATTAAAATCGAGAACAACAGCCACTTAAATGTCTGTCAATAAGGAGAGGCGTAGGTGATCGAAGGGAAGAAAACCAACACGTGGCAGACCAAGATGGTCGGTCTCCATCAAACACCACTTGAGCAGAATACTGTAGCCTCCGGTCGTCAACAGAAAATGTTGTCCTTTGTAAGCCAAAAAATGAATTGGAAGCGGTCACAGACATTGCTAAAACTTCAATTCATGTAAGAAGCTCTATTTCCAACGTTGCGCATCTGACGGCCTTGTAAACGCACATGCATCACTGGTACCACGTGGGCGTTATATTCAATCGGCTAAATCGTACTGCTTACTGCTCTGTCAGCAGCACACGGTTAGGTGCAGGCTATGGCGTGGTGACGCCTAACGGTATGAACTCAAATGCTACTTGCAGTTTACCCAAGTGACGAAAGGTATGAAACCCGGTTACAGCCAAAAACACAATGGGCCCTGATGGTGCCCCTCGTTATCACACAAGCACAGCACGTGGTAAATTCTGGCGACCATATAAAACAAGATTGAGTTCATAATCACATATGCAGCGGGACTTCGGAAACCACAATCGAAGTGAACAATACGTGTGATCTTAACTTGTGGGTGAATACTGGTGAAAGGAATATGGCCTTCGCTGCGGAGTTATCCACTAGAAAATGCCAACTAGACCGGTTACAGACTATTGGACAGAAGAGCAAATTCTCATATGCATCTTAATTACAAAAACCGGACATCCACCTTCTCTTGAACGCCTCTTCCTGAACGTTTATTGAGTGTTACTCAAGTCAAAGCAAATGCTACAAACCGAGTCCACAAATCCGCAATAGATCTCCTTTTCAAGCGAATTTACAAGAAAACATACTACTCGCATGCCTTCCCCATCAGTAGTACCGCCGTTACACTGGTACACTTTAGAGTGTTGGTACATCCATGTCGAGATTCGTACAAGATTTGATTATGTTCACAGGATACCATCACGTAAAGTGCACTGTCCATCGTCAAATGAGAGTGTGTGATGTTAACGTGAACCTCAGCAAGGGGAGAAACTTCAAGCGTGTTGGTGATTGTTCAGATGGCCGATGATCTATTCGCCGGGCTTGTATGGTGTTCTTCTTCAGCAGTCAAAATAAGTAAACCAGTTAATACCGAGTCTGCATCTCGCGCTATCACAGTACACCTAGTTGCCCTGCTATGAAGACGACAATGACTTCACTCGACGTGAAGTCACGCAATACGTTTCCCATTGGTCGCATTGTCAAAGAGAATTTTGGGACACTCTGAAGTTGTGTTACCGTAGATCCCGTAAAATTCCAAACCCACGCCTTCGCTGTTATCCCGTCCTCCTGGACGACCGCTGATTAACCAACCAACGTATTCTGAATATTCACCGGCAGGTCAGCAAAAAACCAAAGCAGATTACACCGAAAATCGCGACTGACAAGCGTGCTATACCCCCAGGTCATCTTTCAGGATTCAATCGGAAGGAGCCTAGGACCGAGACGATCACTCTGATGACTTTTTGTGTAAGTTACGAACGTGTCCAACCTGACGTGACACTTAACAAAAGCAGTATCAACAGCGACAGCGCTTCATATAATACGGCTATAATAGAAGAAACGAAAACAAACTTACCTCGAGCACTTGCGCAGCCACTTCCTGCCAAACCACAATTTTTCGACGGTTAGCCGGTTCTCGGTTTCCAAGTTCAGTTACGATATTCTGTACACTGTAGAGCAGAAAAAACTTTGGCTACAAACAAAAAATAGGTGGTAGAACCAAGTGGGCACTCAAAGCCAAAGACTATCTAGAGGAACTTTCGTCCTGAGGCGCATACGGATAGTAATAATAATAAGTAATTGTCCAGCTCTAAAACTCTTCCGGTGCCCAGATGCCGCGCTATTCGGAGAAAATACGAGGGTTTATAAACCGCCAGGTTGCCCGAGTCCTGACAGGAGCTGTCGAGGTTGGCGGACCATCTGGCCAGAGCTTTCTGGAATTCAATGAGGAGTTGTGAAAAGGAGATTTTACTAAATACAAGCAACAAACTGCGATGGTGGTTGATCAGTTGCATATAGTCTTAACGCCTCTCCAACTCTCTTGAGCAAAACGTCCTGCACGGCCGCCATCAGGTGTTACTAAAATGGCATCGTACATCGCAGTGTTGCCCCAGCAGAGATACCGTTCGGTTTCGTACAAATGTAGAGTTCATCTCCCGAAAAAACGGGCAATGAGTGCATATGGCGCCACGACGTAATCAGGAGTAAGAACTATCACATACATAATCCACAGCAAAATTTGTTCCGTCTTACTGGGAATCATTAGTACTGCGCATCTCATAGGGAATCTCAAACCAGTGACCTTCCGACTATTAGTTCTAACAAGCGGCCGCTAAGTCACTAGCAGCTAATCTACACTGACTGGCTCGCACTTAGACAGGATGTAGAGCCATTAATTTCCTTCAGCGCAGATTGACAACAAGTCCGCACTGAAAATTCCAAAATCTATTGACACTACCGAAATGGTGTTACGGCTGAACGATTATTATTTTTATTACTGAAGAAAACAGTTCATTCGAAGAGCGAAACTGAGGAAACAGCATTCATGACCCCACAGTTTGGATCCCGTGATTGAAAGACGTATGGCATTGGTCCTGCGTAAGTGAGAGTTAATCACAGTGATGATCACCTACTGAGCGGTTAAGTGTTCAAACTACTTACCGAAAGTTACGGGTTTGAGATTCCCTGGAGTTACGTGAGGTGAGCACTACTGATGATTCTCAATAAGGATGAAAAAGCTGTCCAGTAAATCTCGGTCGATTAGACTAGATTAGCTTCACTCAAGATAAGATAATCATTCAGCTGTAACATCCTTCGGTGCCCAGCTGCCATGCCATCAAAAGGAAGCTTGAGGGCTAGGATACTACCAGGTTGCCCAAGTCTAGACAGGGGAAGTCGAGAGGCAGAGGTCGGGTTCGAACCATGGACCTTCCGATCAGTAAATTCGCTCCCTAAATAGTTGAGATATCTCAACTTCACTTATTTCACTTAGGGTTTGACAGAACAATCAGGAGAAATATACGGATGGGCTCCGTTAGAGTTACAGTGACAACTCACCGTTTCCAGAAGTAATCGAGTGACAAAGCACTCTGTAAATTTAGTTTGGCTTGTGTTTTAATCATTTCAGGATCGGAATCCCTGAAGAAAAAAGAAATATATGGTGAAAGAAGCCAGTGTAACATGAACAAATTTCGTCCGAAAAATCGGCGACACAAAAGCTAGTAAAGATTAATGCAATCGCCAGTGACATTCATGATAACAGAACGCACCAGCAGACAGGTTGTACTTCGTCTCCGCCTAGATGAATGTATTCGTCAGGAAAGAGACTGAACATCTCGATGAGAAAATTCTCAATAAATTGGTATGTTTCATTGAAAAATGGGTTGAGCGGTCCAAAGTAGACAGTGTTATCCTCGTAACCTTGACATTGGGCTAGCAGTTCCGGTTTGGAGTAGACCAGACTGCGGGTATGACCTGCGGGGAATAAAGCATTTTAATCAGTATTAAGTTATCAATGGTGATACGATGGGGTAGGACTGTAATGGTATAAATCTATGGAAAGCGTGGGTGTGCATGTGTGCGAGATTAGTGCGAACGAAAGATATCTATCAATAACACAATAGGAAGCCATGAAAAACGGAATAGTCTTCGACGCCAAAATCTCAATTCCAGATCACGCGGATGGAAAGACTGAGAACAGTAATCTTAATGAAACCCGTGGACAGAGGCTCCAAATAGTTTGATATGTATACAAATAGAAATCCTTGATTTTCGGAGTAAATGATGTAGGACTCCGAAATATGCGGATTCTTGCACTTAGATTGGGATAGCTCTCATAATGTTTCGCGCACCATTTCGTCACGCTGCTTTATACTCCGGGTGTCAATTTTTCTCAGTAGAGGGTCGGGACTAATTACAAATTCAGTAAACAGCCGCCCTGAGTGATGCGCTAAGTCAAAAGCTCTTATTTGGCTGAGGAACCCAGTAAAACCGAACGGTCCGATTAAGGTTTCGCGCGCTGCGTTATCCGAGTTGGCCATAGTTGGAGCGAACAATGGATAGATTCGAGCTTGCATTCTGCCACGCCCTGTCGAAACGAAAAACCCTTGCAAAGCAAATTAGTAGGGGAACGGACCAGTAATCACCAATGCACTGCACCATTCAATGCAAACACTGCATAGAAATCATTGGTAGTAATAGCAGCGTGCGTACACGAAATACTGTTGGTTGTGAACGGAAACAGCATAAAATGTTCATAAAAGGAAACAAACGATTGTGAATGTTAGTCACATTAAGACTCACTCAAGGTACATATGAATGAAAATCAATTGAAAACCAGAGAGAAGCACAAACGAACGAACACGGCTGTGTCAGGTAAGACATTAGACCCGCCCAATTCACACAATTCACTCGGATCGCAAGGGGCGATCCGACATTCATGCTGTCAACAGGATTGAGTGCCCATCAAAATCGACAGAAGAACTAAGTTGTGATATGTTTAGTTTACTCACAGGGTCGGTTGCATACTGGTTGAAAACAGTGTTAAACTATCGCATTATGTATTGTTGAAGGGAGTAAATGATCTGAGGATTGTCAATGCAATGCACGTCTGCGAGACAGAACCATGCAATGAAATATTGCTGTGCAAAACATTCTGCTCACTCGTCGGAATGGAGTCTTCACATAAAATCAACTTATTTCGTGCACACATTCGGTGTCTAGCTGTTCCGTGTAACTCGAGGCAGACATGATCCAGCCAGTCAATGTTTTTTTAATGTGCTGGAGAAAATTTGCCATTCAGAATTACGAGTGTGTAACAAATATGCGCAAAGAATAGGAGCAAAGAACTACGACTTCAGAGAATTCATGTGACACAAGAAGCTCGGAAAGAGGAATCATTCACAGGTCGTGTGAGCAGTCCATGTGATATGTCGTCAGTCGAAGAATTGACGAACAGCTCACAACGTGACGTGAATTTCGTGACTGAAGGCTGGAAGGTACTACATCCTGTCCAAGTGCGGACTCATCATACTGCTGACCAACGTCTTCTGGCCGAGCGGTTATTTGTTCAAACACCCTGTGGATTCACGAAATGTGTACCACTGGTAATTTTTGACAAGGATAAAACAGCTGTACAGTGCTTCCGGGTTTTACTTACACGACGAAGTCTCGACCGAAGTTCATGTGATAGTGACCTGGTTAAAATCTTGATGACTCAGGTCACGGTTCAATCGAAACACTCAAGTGGAGGCGGAGATCAGACTAGTGAACAGAGACAACCCTAACCAGCAGACATATACAGACATGCTCACAGCACCATTCAACTATCAAACTGACGCATCGCTCGCGGATGCACATACAATACGTTCACATCGTCAATAAGTAGAGCAAACACACCAACACAGACAATCCATATGTTTTCACGTTTAACGTCAAAGATTCATTCAACTTTGTTACTCGGTTTGTGTGCTAAACTGTCACTTCTTGTGTTTAAAAACATGGATGTAAGTGAACGGAAAACATCGTCTCAAAAGAATATACAATTGCACCGACAGAAAACACTACCATGTGTTTAGAACTCCACATTTGTCCGCTGGATTTCCCATCAGACCAAACGGTCTAACTGCAGTATATTGGGGAATCATGCGGAATTAAAAATTAAAGTGGCGGGTAATCAACAGTACCTGGAATGTCGAATTCCGGTATAACACGTATGCCACGTAGCCTTGCGAATTCAACAATTTCTTTGATGTCATGTTGTGTGTACACTTGGCGTTTATGCCACGCACCCTATGAACGAAAAAAAGCGAAAACAGAGCATAAATTCCGATGAATGAAAAAAAGCGAAAACAAAGCATAAACTCTGGACTACTTTTCCGCAGTTAGTACTTGCCTGAAGGAGAGCCACTCATAATGATTGAACATCACGTCGACAGAACGGATGTCGTGAGTCTGATGTAGACCAAAGT